CCCATGTCATCCCCTGCTTATTTATAGCACCCCTTTGCCAATGAGAAAGGGGTTCAGAAAAAGGGTTCGGTTAGAGAAAAGGTCGAGAAGGCTTCGTCAACTAAAATGTGTGTACGAATATGAACATGTAAATTAATAGGGATCCGTTGACCTACTCCTTCACTTCGGTCAACTGACCCGAGCACAAACAAAATACATGTTTTAGTTTTTGGTTAATGCAATAAATTACAAGTTTTGCATGAAGACACATAAAATAACTCTTATTTAATATGACTAGGGTTTAGTAATCTACGTAAAACAAAATTATTATATCTAGTTGAATTATACAAACCCTAATATGTTCATGTTCATCAAAAACATCATGAAAACAAATAAATATCAATGTTAACTCATGATAAATTTATTTTAAATCATAAATCTAAATCAGAAAATTCGTTTATGCCTTTTTAAATATTAAAGATTGAATCTTTGTATCATATATCTTAAAAGATCAATACTTATACTTAAACTAGGTTTTAAGGCCAAATAAAAACCAGATAAAGCTCAATTAAATCAATTAAAAAAGGGGATGGGATTGGAGTAGATGAAACTCTTGATGAACTCCCAAACATGTGAGAAAACAGATCCTCCTTTGCAAAACGTTGACAATCTCGCCCTCTTCTGGGTATTTTGCTTCACAAAGCTCTCAAAATTTATCAAAAAGTGCTCTAAGGTTTTTTAGGGGAGAGGGTGGCCGCTAGGATTAGAAAATATGATGTAAAAGAGAATATTTCATGTAATATATCCATATATATACAGGCAAACTCAAAACAAGCCAAACAGACCCGAATCCAATTCGGACTAGGAAATAGTCTTTGATATTTTGTCTGTAACATTTTTATCTGACCTCAGAATGAGGTGATTTAAGATGCGTTTTAAAGCTATTGAATTGGCATACAACATTTGTCTTTTGAGCTATTTCAGATTTGTCCGCGGGGAAAATCATGTCTTTCTTCATTATTGATTTCATCGTCATCTCAAATAACAGCTTTTTGAGTTACAAAGATCCGGTCTTTTTTAGATCCGGTTACAACGAAAATCAAAGAAAATCGAACGAATCGCAAGATCCTGTTTTGCGGTCTCTTGCTTGTGTGGGTTCTTTGCCGACGCCGGGGTTAATCCGTGGACCACCGCGCGATCTAGATCCGGTCGGATCTACACGATTCGACGGGTATTATTTCGCCAAGGAAATAATAGCCGAGGGTACTATTTCGCCAAGGAAATAGTAGCCTTTAATTCTCGGGATCAAAGGCCAAGCTTTGATCCGGAGTGTGATTTCGTGTAGATCTCAGATCTGATCTTTACCTCTCTCGAAATCTTGCCTTTTGTGACGTGGACGCTCGCCGAGAATCAGATCTGAATCTTCAAGTCTTCAAGTCTTCAAAACTCTGAGCTCAATCTTCAATTCAGCAGAGTTTCGTCTCTCAAAGTTCCAACCTTTCAAAAATAAGCCTACAGCCCTCTATTTATAGGCATTGAAAGCGGATCTGGGCCCAGATCTGGGCCCAGATCCGAGCTGGCTCGGCCAGGTGGCTCGGCCAGGCCGAGACACTTGTGAGTGTCTCGGGTATTTTGAATATAACTTTCTCGTATTATCTCCAAATGACCTGATCCAAGATGCATTGGAAAGCTGACAAAGAGATATACAACTTTCATGTTTTGAGTTTCTTCATTTTCTAATGGGATCATGGTCAAAACAGCTCTACAAGTTCCAAGACACCTTTGGGTGTCTCGGCCAGGTCCGAGACACCTCTAGGTGTCTCGGCGCTATTTTAGGCATAACTTCCTCCCTTTGGGTGTCTCGGCCAGGTCCGAGACACCTCTAGGTGTCTCGGCGCTATTTTAGGCATAACTTCCTCATATGACCTCCAAATGACCTGATTCCAACACCTCTAGGTGTCTCGGCGCTATTTTAGGCATAACTTCCTCATATGACCTCCAAATGACCTGATTCCAAATAGGTTGGAAAGTTGACAAAAGTATCTACAACGTTTCTGTTTTAAGTTTCTTCATATTCAAACGGGATCATGGTCAAAACAGCTCCACACATTCTGAGACACCTTTGGGTGTCTCGGCCAGGTCCGAGACACCTCTGGGTGTCTTGGCACTATTTTATGCATAACCTCTTCATATGACCTCCAAATGACCTGATTCTAGATGGGTTGGAAAGTTGACAAAAATATCTACAACTTTCCTATTTTGTGTTTCTTCATATTCAAACTGGATCATGGTCAATATAGCTCCACAAGTTCCGAGATACCTTTGGGTGTCTCGGCCAGGTCCGAGACACCTCTGGGTGTCTCGGCGCTATTTTAGGCATAACTTCCTCATATAACCTCCAAATGACCTAATACCAGATGGCTTGGAATTTTGACAAAAATATCTACTACTTTTCTGTTTTGAGTTTCTTCAGATTCAAACGGGATCATGGTCAAAACAGCTCCACAATTTCCAAGATACCTTTGGGTGTCTCGGCCAAGTCCGAGACACCTCTAGGTGTCTCGGCGATATTTTAGGTATAACTTCCTCATATGACTTCCAAATAACCTAATTCCAGATGGGTTGGAAAGTTGACAAAAATATCTACAACGTCCCTGTTTTGAGTTTCTTCAGATTCAAACGGGATCATGGTCAAAATAGCTCAACAAGTTTGGAGACACCTTTGGGTGTCTCGGTTCGGGCTGAGACATTTTGTTTTGCACACTTGTCCATTTTCGCCATAACTTTTTCATCCGAACTCGGATTTAAGCGATTCAAAGTGCGTTGGAAAGACGATGAGGAGTTCGATAAGCTCCAATAATTAGATCATCTGTGGAATAAATGAGACACGAAGGGTATTTCGTCTTAGGAATGAACTCCCTTAGACTTTGTGCTATGATGTTGAATACATAGGCTTTACCATTTGTTACGGGAATAGGCTACCCGGCGACACATGTTAGGCGTTGACTTTAGGATTTTTGGTTAACCCCCAGCCTTTAACGGATTTGATTAGCCTTTATCGACTACCGTTTGAGTCGGGTTAGCATGCGGATTGTCTAAATCCGTTCGCATGTAACGTTGCGCTAAAGGAATGAACTCCCTTAGACTTTGTGCTACGACATTGAATACGTAGACTTTGCCATTGTCATGGGAATAGGCTACCCCGCAACACCCCAGACTGGTCTTCTGGTGTCTTTTTCTACGGCGAAAGACTAAACCGGCGACGCGTGTTAGGCGTCGGCATATCCTTTCTTAGGATTCAGGATGAAATTCCCCACGCGTGTAAGGCATAGATTTTGGTGTTATTAATAACAACCTGCCACAATGTTGAATATGCGGACGGGTATTCTTTTTAACGCTTAAGAACTAACCGGCAGCGCGGGTTAAGCGCAGACTTATCCCTGCTTAGGTTTCAGGACAGAATACCCCAGAATCGAATTCTGGTGTTTTTTCTGCGGAAAAAGACTAAACCGGCAGCGCGTGTTAGGCGCAGACTTATCCCTGCTTAGGATTCGGGATAAACTTCCTAGGATGAATCCTAGATTGATAAATTTTGGGAAAAGATTGGTGCGGAAAAGGGAGAATTTTATATTCTATTTCCCGGTCTTATTTTAGGGTGAAGGCGAACCCGAATACAAGGAAGGAATAATTTTATATTCTATTCCTTGATTCTGGAAAGGAAGAATTTTATATTCTATTTCCAGCGAAGAAGAAACTAGAAGTGGGGTGTCCACTCCGAGAGTCTGGAAGATGTAGATAAAAGATGAGAAATAGGTTCTTCGTTTATCGAAGTGGAATTCCAACTTCGGTTATAACCATGAGAAGGCTTAACTAAAGAGAAAAAGAAGGGAGTTCTTTCGTTTATCGAAAGGGGACTCCGAACTGAAAGTGGACCTCTTGTTCATGGAAAGAATCAAGAGGGCCAGAAAAACATTTTTGGTGGACTCACTGTCAGTTGAAATTGATCAGTGAGGGATTTTGGTGGTGAAAATGATTTTGGGTTTTCCTCTAGAATATTAAGTGTAATATTCTTCAAGGAACTTCCCGATAAATGAGTTATCCTGAAGGTACTAAGGATAGTACTTTTTCAGGAACTTCCTATTTATTGGCATTAATTGCCTAGCGCCCTCTGGAGTAATTAGGCGACATGCGCCGTTTGAGTAGACTATGTCTATCACAAACGGGCCTTCCCATTTGGGTTCGAATTTACCTTTCTTCTGGAATTGAGGATTATCGGTCGGCGAGCAGCGAGGACCAGATCTCCTTCCTTGAAGCTTCTCTGTCGGACTCTTTTGTTAAAAGCCCTGGATATTCGGGCTTGATAAAACTCAATTTGTCGTTGAGCTCCCAAGCGCTTTTCATCCAACCTCTCGAGTTCTTCGAGACGTTTTTGATGCTGTTCTTCTGTCGTCATCTCAGTTGCGAGAGCGATCCGAAGTGACGGGATTTGAATCTCGTCTCAAAAATAACTCATAAGAGTTAGAGAATTTGACAATAATAAGAGGAAACATTCCGACATTCAGAGTTTGAACGTGAATTTCTTATTCATCACTTCTACAGTGACTGGGTTATCCCTAAGAATACTACACGTAATATCCTTCCGGGAACTTCCCATTATCCACCCCCAGCTTTCCTTGCAAAACTGGGTTCGACATTATAATCAGTTACATGACCAGGTTATCCTTAAGAATATAAAAAACTCTCCAGGAACTTCCCGTCAATGGTAGGAAATAGTTTAGACTCATATACCTATTGGAGTATCAGGGAGCAGTTTAACCTCTTATACCAGTCGGAGGATTGAGAAGCAGTTTATACTCATATACTCTTCGGAGTGTTGATGGTCATTGTCATTCGGTTTGTCCTGCTATTGGGACGCCGGCTTCAACTAAGGCCTTCGCATAGCCAATTCCATCTTACTCTCAAATTCTTCTTTCTGCTTGATTAACGCTTCTTGAACTATTTGAGTGAGCTGGTCAGGAGTAATGGTGAACGCTTCTCTAGTGTTTTTGGAAAGACGTGATAACTCGTGTAGAGTTACTTTCACTGGAATGTTAGCCAATTGGGTCATAACATCGAAGTGGTATGAAGCCCTTGAATTTTCCGGTCTGTCTCTTCCAAACTGTTGATTGAATTGAGACTGCCTCGGGTTTTGAACACCTTGGTGCAGGTGTTCCTGCTGTGTCTTCTCAGCAGGTGCGGGAGGTGTTGTAATCGTCTCTACCTCAGCTAGTCGATCAGAGGTACTTGGATATTCGGAACGATACTCGTTCCCGTTTCTGGTGGCGAGTATTGGTTCTCCGGTGGTTATAAGAGTTGCATGTTCATTATCAAGAAACGAGAAGGTAGGGATTGCTTCGTCGTCTTCTTCTGGGATGGCCGAGGCTCCATAACAAGACTTACCTTTTCCTTTTGACTCTTTCTTGGAAAGGGCTCCAGTCCATTGTTCATCTCCAATCAAATCTGGATGAACCCAAAGAATCTCACCATTCGGGGCTGTGTGTGGCACAAGTCCTTTCTGGCGTTGTCCGTATGGGTCGTCATTTATTGTCTTCATTCCTACCTTGGGGATGCATTTTGGTTCAAACCACGCTGTGGGCACTGATCCAAAGCTGATTGACACCACATTGGCCAGGAACTTCGTCATCTTTGAAGGAGTACACTTTGGGAAATCTTGGCTCTGAAGACTTCTGCTTCTGAGGCCGTTGTTGCCATTGCGACTGCGACTGTTGTGGCGCTCGTTGCTGCTGCTGTTGCTGAGGTTGCAATTGAAAAGTCTGATTAGCATCAACTGCATTAGCGTATGCCTTACCTTTCCCCCTCGGGTTGAAATTCTGCGTTGTGTTCGCCGCTTGTTGGCCTCTCTCCGCCTTCTTTCTCCTGAGGAATCGCTCAGCTTGCTCCCCTCGGACCTTCAGATCCTTCCAGGTTTTGGACGGTGCTGTATTCTGCGTTGCGTTCGCCGCTTGTTGGCCTCTCTCCGCCTTCTTTCTCCTGAGGAATCGCTCAGCTTGCTCCCCTCGGACCTTCAGATCCTTCCAGGTTTTGGACGGTGCTGTCCCCATTGCTTCCAACACGTCCAAGGACAGATTGTTGTGGCAGGTCAAGAGAATGAATTCCTCGGTGATCAGGTCCCGACAGTTCATCGCCTTATTCCGGAACCTTTTGACGAAGGTGTCGACTAACTCCTCGTCCTTCTGCTTCTCATAGAGCAATGATCCGATAGATATCTCGGTGTCATCGTCGAAGAAATTAGTGAGGAACATAGTCTCCATATCGTCCCAGCTGTTCACGCTACCTGGCTTGAGGCGGCGATACTAATCGAAGGCGGCTCCGCGAAGAGTGTCGGCGAATGACCGCACCATCAGAGGCTCATTGCTGGAGATTATCCCCAAGTGTGATTTGAAGTAAATCAAATAACGGCGTAAAGTTAATTAGGTTGAACTTCGCCGGATATGGGATTGATTCCCACTCTCTTGGGTATGGACACGGAATGCCTGTTTTCTTCATCTCTTGAGCGGAAATCAACGTGTTGATTTTGCTCTCGAGATTTTTAATTTTCAGATCGCTCTTGAGCGGAAATCATCTGTGTTTTCGCTAGCATTCTCGTTACCACCCCCTGCATTGACGGGAGGATTGTTAGTATTACGAGCTTCATTCGTATCCTCGTCCTCCTGATGAACTTGGTTGCGACGACTTGGTTCGCCTTGTGTGTCCTCATCTTCCTGATTAACTTGGTTGCGACGACTTGGTTCGCCTTGCTGGTTTGTCAGTGCTTGAATTTGTTGCTCATGCATTTCTCTCATGTTCTGCATGGCCATCTGCATTTCAAACCTGAAAGTATCCTGTTGTTTAGCCAAGGTGTCTTCAAGCATCTTGGCCACCTGCTCCGCACTTATCATAAGCGCCTCGCGGGGTTGTCCCTCGCTGGATACCGTATTATCTGATGCGACTGCGGAGCCGGCATCAGATTCTTCATCTTCTGAAGGGAGTCTTGTCCGAACCCTACCATAGATTGCTCGCTTGATGGTTCCGGACTGCAGACGGGTTCTAGGCCGGGATGCTTTCAGAATGGATTCGATATTGTCCCGCGCCGATGTCCCTCTGCTAGTCATATTGGTGGTGACCCTCGGAAATTCTCCATCTTCAACCACCGTTCTTCTTCATCAGAAACGCCTAGGCCTTGGTTTTGGCGTTTCGGTACTAAGTCTTTCAAAAACCAAAACTCTTTCGGGGACCGCCTTGATGCAACTGCATTCAGACAATACTGCCCGAATGAGTTTGGAAAAGGGGCACTGAGTTTCCTGTTCTCGGGGACTCCTCTTCCTGGTTTTATTAGTACCCCCAGCACGATAATACAACTCGTCTACTTGACGATCGGAGTAACCTATCGTGTGTTGACACGACTTCTCAGGTATACCATTATCGTCATCAGGTGATAATATTTCCTTCTGAGGGCGAACTACCTTCTATGGGCTTTCGAAAGTCACGCGCCTCGTAACATGCCTTTTTGGGCGTGAGTTCTCGGCGGGTTCCTGGACTTTAATGCGCAAGTTGGTGCGCGCAGCTGCCCTGGTCTCTCTGTCATGTTGAGGGTAACTGTGACCCCCAGCATGTTGCGTCGTCCGGGGTTTCTTCATTGGGCCCAAACGCTCTTGAACTGGAGCTTTGACTCGCTCATCGGGAAGCGGACCGAGACGCTCCAAAACTGGCTTCTTCTTTCGGGATGACTCTGCATGATCTCCCGTAGATGCTATTGGGATTACCGGCAACTTTGGTTGATTCGCCGGAGTTTAAACTTTGGTTGGAGGCTGCTTCGGCCTCCACACTTGGCGGGTTGATGGCGGCTTTTTGGCCACTTTTTCTTTCTTCAATTCCTCGGCTTTTTGGCCGCTCTTCGAGTGTCGAACGGTTCCGTTTGACCCGGATCCATTCGTTCGTCGGCGACTTGGAGGAACCGTCATTCTTCAGTTGTTGAGGCTGTTTGCCTCTCCTATTCTTCAGATCCGCGTCGTAGCGGACTCTGTCTGTAGACTCCATTGCCTTAGCGAGTTGCCGCGCGAGGCGTTGACGTCGCCTCTGGCGGGCTCTCTTTGAGAGAGTCACAACGCCCTCAATAGTAGAGGCGTCGGCCAGAATAGGTTTGACCTCGTTGGAGGTCGGTGGAACTTCACCCGACGCAACTTTGGCGTCAGCCGGGGTGAGAGCTTCATTGACGTTCTGAACTTCTTCGAACCAACGAGCTTTTCTCCTGGAGGAGAGCTTGGACTTCTTGGACTTGCGGGGGGAGGTTGATCCGGACGACGACGACAAGTATTCCTTGAACCTCTGTTGGTCGAACTCGTATTCGACCTCCTCCACGACCGGGATTGAGATCCGCGGCTGCGACGCTCCGATCTCGGCAGCGAGATCGACGGCTCCTACTGTGGTCGCCAGATTGTTCGCGGGGAAAATCATGTCTTTCTTCATTATTGATTTCATTGTCATCTCAAATAACAGCTTTTTGAGTTACAAAGATCCGGTCTTTTTTAGATCCGGTTACAACGAAAGTCAAAGAAAATAAATGAAAAGATTACAACTTTCTCCTTGTTTTTTGAACAAATCGCGAGCTCCTGTTTTACGGTTGCTCGCTTGTGTGGGTTCTTTGCCAACACCGGGGTTAATCCGTGGACCACCGCGCGATCTAGATCCGGTCGGATCTACACGATTCGACGGGTAATATTTCGCGAAGGAAATAATAGCCGGGGGGGATTAGTTCACCAAGGAAATCATCGCCCTTAATTCTCGGGATTAAAGGCCAAGCTTTGATCCGGAGTGTGATCTCGTGTAGAATCAGATCTGAATCTTCAAGTTTTCAAGTCTTAAAAACTCTGAGCTCAATCTTCAATTCGACAGAGTTTCGGCAACTTTCCTGTTTTGAGTTTCTTCAGATTCAAACGGGATCATGGTCAAAACAGCTCCACAAGTTCCGAGACACCTTTGGGTGTCTCGGCCAGGTCAGAGACACCTCTGGGTGTCTCGGCGCTATTTTAGGCATAACTTCCTCATATGACATCCAAATGACCTGATTCCAGATGGGTTGGAAAATTGACAAAAATATCTACAACTTTCCTGTTTTGAGTGTCTTCAGATTCAAACGGGATCATGGTCAAAACAGCTCTACAAGTTCGGAGACACCTTTGGGTGTCTCGGCTCGGGCTGAGACATTTTGTTTTGCACACTTGTCCCTTTTCGCCATAATTGGAAAGACGATGAGGAGTTCTATAATCTCCAATGATTAGATCATCTGTGGAATAAATGAGACACGAAGGGTATTTCGTCTTTTGTAAGTGACACGGGGCTCCCGATCCGTTCGTATCCTCATTATTCTGAAACTCCGTTGCTTCACATAGTTCGTCAACCCACTTTATGTGTTTGTCGATATTAATCAAGCTCCTGTGACTTAGATTATGACGTTCATCATCTTTTCTTAGCACTGAGCCGTTCGTAGGGACCTATAGGCAGTTTTATACGCCTACAAGATTTAGATTACATTAGTGTATAATGTATATATACTATTAGTTGGTCTCAAATCAATTACTATCATTCTTCATTAAATGATATTTATTATACTATAACTCATGTAATACTATTTACCCTAGTATTTAAAAAAAATTATTGTGTTTTATATTCATCCCCGTTAAAGAATTTCGTTCTTGAAATTCAGCAAACGTATCTTTAGAGTTTCATTATACGAGAAAAGCACGTTGAGAGAATAATCCAGCCAAGGAAACCCTTACATACACATCTTGTATCATTAATCTAATGATATGTATCACAAGTAATATTTACACTTAAGAATCTAGAATGCAAAAACTACCACTTAACCCCTAATTAAAAAAAACTAGGTCATCAAGCAAAAATCCAAACAAAGAACCCCCTCATATATATATATCATATGTTCCGAATGATCAGGAGCTATGTGTTAATACCTCCATTTTGCCGTTAAATGTAAATGTGGTTGTATAAATAATGTGAACACAAATAAATCATAATTAATATTTTATCTGCTCAAACAGGTGTGGGTAGTTATGACGCATATCGTCCTCGCGCTCCCAAGAAGCTTCCTCAGCTCCCTTCTGGTTCCACTACACTTTCACTAAAGAAATCACCTTATTTCTAAGTCACTTATCGTCTCTAGTAAAAATACAAACTGGGATCTAAATGGTGGTCAAATCAGCTAGAATCCCTAAGTCTGATGCGTTAGTCACTCTCTAATACTCCTTGTCGTGCAAATGCTTCTTGAGCATCAAAACATGAAAAACATCGTGTATATTTATCATCGATGCTATAAGATCTAGCCAATATGAAACGGTTTCAACATGCACAATGACCCTAAATGGTCCAACGTATCTCAGGGCAAGCTTTCCTCACCTACCAAAGCCGAGCCACCTCGGGGTGGCTCGGTGGCCGAGCCACCTTGGGGTGGCTCGGCCATGAGCCGAGCCACCCCAAGGTGGCTAGGCACAGTGTCGGCCACCCCGAGGTGGCCGACAGTGGCCCGAGGTGGCCGACAGTGGCCCGAGGTGGCCGACAATTCCCTTTTTGCAGCCACTGTCCTGAGAGCCTATAAATAGGCCTAGAGATGTTCATTTTCAGAGGTCGAACTTTCAAGAGCCGAAACTCTGCCGGATTGAAGAGTGAACTCGGAGCTTGAAGACCAGAAGACTTGCACATTCAGATCTGATCCTCGGCGACCATCCACGTCAGAAAAGGCAGGATCTCGAGAGGAAGAAAGAACAGATCTGAGATCTACACGAGACTACACTCCAGATCTAAGCTTGGTCTTAGATCTCGAGATCTGAGCGATTATTCCCTTGGTGGATTAATCCCTCCCGGCTATTATTCCCTTCGTGGAATAATACCCGCATAATCGTGTAGATCCGACCGGATCTAGATCGCGCGGTGGTCCACGGATTAACCCCGGCGTTGGCAAAGAACCCACACAAGCAAGCAACCGCAAAACAGGAGCTTGCGATTTGTTCACAAGAGGAAAGTTGTAATTTTTATTTTTTTTTCTTTGATTTAGTTGTAACCGGATCTATAAAAGACCGGATCTTTGTAATCCAAGATGACAATTATCTCAATGAAAAAGAAAACAGTTTTCCACGCGAACAATCTGGCGACCACAGTGGGAGCCGACGATCTCGCCAACGAGATCGATGCGTCGCAGCCGCGGATTGCAATCCGGGTCGTGGAGGAGGTCGAGTATGAGTTCGACCAAGCCAAGTTCGAGGAGTACGTGTCCTCGTCCGGCTCTATCTCCCCCCGCAAGTCCAAGAAGTTCTCCTCCGGGAGAAAAGCTCGTTGGTTTGAAGCTGCTCGGGAAGCCCACGAAGCTCTCAACCCAACTGACGCCGAAGTTGCGTCAAATGAAGTTCCACCGACCTCCAATCAGGTCAACCCAACTCCCGCCAACGCCTCTACTGTTCAGGGCGTTGTGACTCTCTCAAAGAGAGCCCGCCAGAGGCGTCGTCAACGCCTTGCGCGGCAACTCGCCAAGGCGATGGAGTCTACAGACGGATTCCGCTACAACGCGGATTTGAAGAACAGAAGAGGCAAACAGCCTCAACCACCAATGAACGGTGACTCCTCCAAGCCGCCAAAGAACGAATGGGTCCGCGTCAAACGGAACCGTTCGACGCTTGAGGAACGTATCCGCAAGCGCCGCGCGATGTCAGCACAGGCACGGGCTAAAGTCCAGGAAGCCCATAGAAAACTGCAAAAGGAGGTGACGAAAAAGCCGCCACCAACACGCCAAGTCTGGCGACTCAGGCCAAAAAGCAACCAGTGCAGCCTTCTAAGGAAGGTCAAACTCCGGCGAGTCAACCAAAGTCGCCGTTAATTCCTATGGCCATTCCGGGAGATCATGCAGAATCATCCCGAAGGAGGAAGCCAGTTTTAGAGCGCCTCGGTCCAGTTCCCGACGAGAGAGGCAAAGTTCCAGTTCACGAGCGTTTGGGCCCAATGAAGAAGCCCAGAACGACTCAACACGTTGGGGGTCGCCGTCACCTCCAGTATGTCAAAGAGCTCAAGGCAACTGCGCGCACCAATTTGCATATCGAAGTCCAAGAGCACACTGAAGACTCGCGCCCACAAAGGCACGTTTCGAGGCGTGTAATTTTTGAAAGCCCAAAGAAGGCGATCCAACCTCAGATGGAAACATTATCATCTGATAGTGATAGTGTTATACCTGAGAAGTCGTGCCCGCACACGATAGGTTACTCCGACTGTCAAAATGACGAGTTGTACTATCGTGCTGGGGGTACGAATAGAACCAGGAAGAGGAGTCCCCGAGAACAGGAAATTCAATGCCCCTGTTCCAAACTCATTCGGGCGGTATTGTCTGAATGCAACTGCATCAAGGCGGTCCCCGAAAGAGTTTCAGTTTTTGAAAGGCTTAGTGCGGAGACGCCAAAACCCAGGCCTAGGCATTTTCAACGAAGAAGAAGGATGATTGAAGACGGAGAATTTCCGAGGGTCACCACCAACATGACCAGCAAGGGGACATCGGCACGGGATGATTTCGAGTCAATTTTGAGAGCATCCCGACCTAGGACCCGTTTGCAGTCCAGAACCATCAAGCGAGCAACCTATGGCAGGATTCGAACAAGGCTCCCTTCAGAAGATGAAGAATCTGATGCCGACTCCGCGGTCGCATCAGATAATACAGTATCCAGCAAGGGACAACCCCGCGAAGCGTTTATGATAAGTGCGGAGCAGGTGGCCAAAATGCTTGAAGATGCCTTAGCTAAGCAGCAGGAACCTTCAGGTTCGAAATGCAGATGGCCATGCAAAATATGAGAGAAATGCATGACCAACAAATCCAAGCATTTGGACGAACCAGCAATGGCGAGCCAACGTCGTCGTAACCCGGTTAATCTGGAAGACGACATGATACGAATTGACCAAGCTGCTAATACCCAATAATCCATTCGTAAATACAGCGGGGTGGTAACGAGAATCGCTACCGGAAAACAAGAGAATCTGAAAATTAAAAAATCTCGAGCAGCAAAATCAATACATTGATTTCCGCTCAAGCAGACGAAGAAACAGGGCATTCCTTGCCCATTACCCAACGAGAATGGGAATCGGATTCCCATCATCCGGCCCGAAGTATTAATCTCCCCTTCCCCTTCCCGACCGTTCCCTGGGCATGGTTCCACCTCCCCGCCCTTTGCCCCTTTCCTTTCACCCTCGCACCTGGCGTTTCTCTCTGGTCCTCGCTCTGCCCCTTGGTGCGTCCTCGTCGCACTCTTCGCGGAGCTCGGCTGTCTTTCGCTTGGTCTTCGCCGCCTCCCCGCCGTCGCCGTCCCTCGCTGGGGCCGACCTTCCGCGCACCCAGTCCTTGCCCATTTCTTCGCCGCCGCCCCCGCAGGTCCTTCTCTCGGCCTCGTTTCTCGCTGCGACGCCGCCGGGGCGGGGCGTTAGTCCCCCTCGTCCCCCGCGTTCGGCCCCCCGGCGCTGCCCTGCCCCCCCCTCCCTGCGGCCTTCCTTCCTCCCACGCCTTGCCCCCCCCTCTGGTCCCGCTGGCACGTGTTGGCCGCGCTAGCGGGCCCGCCCCGTCCCACGGCCTGCCGGCTTCTGCGCTCCGCGTCGCGCGCCCGCGCGGCGGTCCTCCCCCGGACGCCGCCGCCCGCGGCCCCCGGCCGCCGCCTGCTCCCCCGCCGCCTTTCCGTCCCCGGGGTCAGGTCCGGCCCCTTGCTCCTCCCGTTGCTGCCCCTCCCTTTCCCCTTGCCCCCTCCGCCCCGCCGCCCCCCAGCCCCCCCCCTCTCGCGGGGCCCCTTGGCCCACCCCCCAGCCTCCGCCGCCGCCCTCGCGGCCCGCGCTTTCCTCCCGCTGTCACTCCTTCCCGGCCTGCGCCGTTCTGCCTCTCCCTCCCTGTTGAGCGCCCACCCCAGCTCCAGCTGCCGTGCGCTCGTGGCTCCAGCCGCGAGCCCCCCGGTGACGGGCTCCGAAGTCTTGCGCCTCCCCCACCTCGAGCGGTTCACTCCCCCCCACCTCCGTCGTGCTCCCCCCTCCCGGGCCCCCGTCCCGGCCTTCCTTTGCTGTCGGCGTTCCTCCCCCCGCCCGCCGTCCCGCCCTGTTGGCGCCCCCCCCGTGTCCCCTCCGTTTTGGCCGGCTGCCCCCCCCTGGTTCGCGCCGCCCGCAGTCCCCCGTGGCTGCCGCCGGGCCCTGCCTGCCCCCCTGGCCCCGCCCCCGGGGCTTGTGCCCCCCCCCGCTCCCCCCGGCGCCCTCCTCTGTTCCCCCGCCTCTGCCCTTGCCCGCTGCCCCTGCGGCTGGCTCGTCCTCCCCCGCCGCCCGCCCCCGCGCCCGGCCGTCCCTTCTGCGGCGTCTCGCTCCTCCCCGGCGCCGCCTGACGCCGCGCTCCCCTCGCTTTCCTGCCTCTCTGCCGTCAGGCCCCCGCCGTTTTTGCTGCCCGCCGCGGCCCTGCGTCTCCCCTCCCCTTTCCCAGCCCCCCTCGTGGCGCCGGGGTGGCCCCACGGGGCCCCGCCCCCCACTCCCCCCGCTGGGGGTGCTTCCGCGTCCGCCCCCCGGTCCCGGCCGCTCTCCGCCCGCCGCGTGCCTCCCCCCCCGCGCGCCCCTCGGCCGGTGCCGCCTCCGCCGCCGTCTCGTTCCCCGCCGCCCTTGGCCGCGGCCCCCGGCCCGGCCGCCCTCCGCGTCTTCGCTCTCCCTTCTCCCCTCGTGCCCCTTCCCGGCCCCGCTCCCCCTGTCTGCCGTTGCTTGCGGTTGTTCCACGGCCCCCGGTGCGGCCGCCCGCCCGCTTTTGCCCCTCCGGGTTTCTGCCCCTCCAGTCCCCCCCGGCTGCTGCCCCCTCCCGCCCGCTTGCCGTCCCCCCGCCCCCCCTTCGCCGCCCCCCCCTTCCTCGCATTCCTTTCCCCCCCGCGGCCGTGCCGCGGCCTCGCCCCGGCTCCCCGCTCTCTTCCTCGGGTCCTTGCTCCCGCCACCGCCCCCGCCTCCCGTGGCTCCGGTTCTGCTGCTGCGTCCTTCTGCCGCTTCGCTTGCTGCCCCTTTCCTCGGTCTCCGCCGCCCTTGGCGTCTCCCGGTCCTTGTTCTCTCCGGCTCCCCCTCGGGTGCTCCCGCCCCCTTGCGGTCCCTCCGGGTCCCCGTGCTCCCCTGGGGCTTTGGCCGCCCGCCGTCCCCGTGCTCCCTGTGCTCGCTGCCGGCGCCTTCGTCCCCCTTCCTCTTGGGTCGCCTTGGCTCACCTCGTCCGTTCTCCTTCCCTCCCTCCTCTCCCTCCGTGTTTGCCGTCCGTCGCCCTGCCCCCTGCGGTTCGGCCGCGTGTCGCGGCTCCGCCCCCCCTCCCCGGCTTCCTTGCGCCTTATTTCCCCCGCTTCTCTCCTTTACTGGGTTCCCCGCCTCCGCTCCTGCCCCCTCGCCCCGGGCCCCCCGCGGGGCTGCTTCTGCTCGCCAGCTTCGCTTCCGCTTGGTGGTTTTATTTTCCCTGCCCTTGTCCCTTTGTCCTCCCTCTTGCGCTGCCCCTCGTTCCGCCGCGGCTTGTCCCTGGCCTTGCCCGCTCTTGCCCCTCCCCCGATTGTTTCCGCGTCCTCTTGTTCTCTGCTGCTCTGTGCCTCCACCGCGCTGCTCTGCTCCTCCTGCGTTGTCTCTGCCCGCTCCGCTTCCTCTGTACCCCGGCCCCCCCCCGCCTTCTTTCGGCCCCCCCCGGTCTCCCGCCCCCACCCTCCGCGGCCCGCCTCCCCGTGCCCTTTCCCGGCCCGGCCCCCGCTCTCCCTCCCCCCCCTTTTCTCATATACACAGACGCCGCTGCCGCTCGCCTGCCCCCTGGTCGCTCTCTCTCCTCCGTCCCGCCCGCGCCCGCTCCTGGCCTCGGGCTCCGCTTTCACCCTCGGCGCGTCCGGGGCGGGGTTTCTCCTTTCGCTCCCGGTCCTCGCTCCTCGCCCAGCGGTCTCGGGCGCCGCGCTTCGGCTTCCTCTCCTCCTCGCCTCTGCCTTGTGGTTGGCCCCTTCTCGCTCCTTGCTCCTCGCCTCCCGCGGGGCTCCTCTTTCTGCTTCCGCTGCGGTTCCGCTCCCCCCGTCTGCGCGCCGCTTTCCGCCCCTCCCCTGCGCCCCCCTGGGCTCCCGCTCTCCCTCCCCCCTGGCCGGCGCGCTCCGCTGCCCCCCTGGGCCGCCCCCGTGGGTCTCCCTCCCTCTGCCCTGCGTCTGTGCTCGGTTCGCGCCGCCCGCCCCCCCCCCTGCCGATCCCCTCGCCACGTCCCCCGCGGTCTGCGGCCCACCCCCGCCCCTCTTCCCGTCGTGACCGCTTCTTCCCCCGCCCTGCAGCCGGCGGCCTTTGCTTGCTCTCCTCCCGCGCTCCTCTCGCGTTACCTCCGTGGCCTCTTGGCCGCCCTGCCCGCTCACGCCCCCCCTGTCGCCCTGCTCGCCTTTGCTCTCCCCGCCGCTGCCCCCCCTGTCCCGCCCCCCCCCCCCGCGTTTTCGTCCGCCCCGCCTGACTCTTGCGGCCGCGGTTCGCCCCCCTCCTCGCATCCGCTCCTCGCCGCGGCGCCCCCCTCCCGCTGGCTCGCCACTCTCGTTCCGTCCCTGCCGCCGCCCCGGTCCCCCCCCCCTTTTCCGGCTCTGTCCTTACCTTCCGCGGCCCTGCCCCCGGCCTGTCCCCCGCCGCCTTTCCTCTCCCTCCCCTGTCCTTATCGCCCTCCCTGCGGGCTTTGCCGCCCGCCCTGTCTTTTCCCCGGTGCCTGGTATTCTCCGGGTCTCCCCCCCCTCCCGCTGCCCCCCGCTGCTGCGCCGCTTCCCGCGGTTCCGCTGCCTCTCCGGTCTTTTGCTCCCGCGTGCTGCACCCTTCGCTCGTCTGGCCCCTGCCGGCGTCCCCTCCCGCGCGCCCTGCCTCCGCCTTTTCCCGCCCCTCTCCGCCGCCGTCCGCCCTGCCTCCGTGCTGCCCTTTGGTTGTTCCCGCGTCCCCCGCCCGCTCTCCCTGCTTGCCCCAGCCGCTGTTCGCCTCTTCCTGCGGCGTCCTCCTTTGCCCGCTGCCCCCCCTCCTCCCTTCCCTTGGCCTGTCCCCGCGGCCCTTCCTTGCCTTCGTCGTCCCCCTCCCGGTTCTCCCTCTCGCTCCCGCTCCGGTGGCCGGCCGCTTTCCCTGCGTTGCCCCCCCCTCGCCTCTGCGCGCGCTCCGCGGTCCCGGCGTTTGGCTTCTCTCCGCCCTTCCTCTCCCCTCTCTGGGGCCGTGCCCCGCTTCTCTCCCGCTGCCCCCGCCGGTCTCGTTTCTTTGGGCTGCTGCCTGCCCCCCCGCATTGCAGCTCTCCCCGCCATCTCTCGCGCCCCCCCTGTTCTCGTGCCCGCTCTGGTTCCCGTTCTTTGTTCTCTCCGCCCCCTGCCCCCTTCGCCTCCCGTGCCTTCCTCGCCCCGCCGATGCTGCGTCCCGCCGGCGCTTCCGCCGTCGGCCCCTTGGTCAGGTCTGGCCGGACCTCTTCGCTCTCGGTGCTGCGCCCCCTTCCTCGCTATTCGTGTTCGCCCCTGCCCCCCGCTGCGGCCTTCCTTGTCATTCCAATTCCGGCCCGCCCTTTCCGTCCTTTCCCCCGTCCCTCCACGTCCGGGTCTCTTCTGCCGCCCCGGGCCTCTTGCCTTGAGCGGTGTCGCGCCGTGAACGGCCCTTCTTCTTCTCCCGCTCTGCTTGTTTCCCCTCCCCCCCGCCGTCGCTCCCGCGGCCCCGCGCTTGTGCTCTTCTACGCGGCCCCCCGCCCCCGCTCCGGCCGGTCTCCGCTGCTGCCCTTGCCCCCATGAAGCGACAAAACGTAATCCCCCAAAAAAAAAAAGCACGTCGCCAAACCCCCCAACAAAGAAAAAAAAAAAAAAATAAAAAAATAAAAAAAAAAAAAAAAAAAAAAAAAGAAAAAAGAAAAAACAGAATAAAAAAAAAAAAAAAAAAAAAAAAAAAATGAAAAAAAAACAATGGCATCATCTTTATTGCATGAAGACAAAAAACAAAAAAAAAAAAACAGAACTTACTTAATAAAAAAAAAAAAAAAAAAAAAAAAAAAAAAAAAAAGGCGAAATAAAAAATATCACAAAACAAAAAACAAAAAAAGAGCAACAAAAAAAACAAAAAAGATATACCTCCGAAAACACAAAAAAAAAAAATAAAACAAAAAAACTAAAAAATACAAAACAATTAAAAAAAAAAAAAAAAAAATAAAAAAAAAAAAAAAAAAAAAAAAAAAAAAATAAAAAAAAAGATAAGAAAAAAGAACAGATACCATACCACACCACACAGAAAAGTACAAGGAATATCTAGCTAACGTATATATCATTCCTAAAAAAAAAAAACAAAGAAAAAACAAAAAGAAAAGTGAGGAGAGTATGTCTTCCTTCACTCCCCGTACGCAAAATGACGAACACGCACGTGTGCAATGCAACTCAGGAAAACATCTAAAAATCTATATCCAAATATGCACAATCAAAAAAAAGAGTCACAGAAAATGCAAAAAAATCCACCCGCAAAAAAAAAAACGATCAAACGATTAACGCATCACCCCCCCCTTCTCCTTTTGCCGCCTCAAAAGTTTATTGCCCCCAGCGACATCGAAAACAATAAAAAAACAAATAAAAAAAGAATAAAAAGAAAAAAAAAGCAAAATAAGAAAAAAAGAAAAAAAACAAAAAAAAACAAAATAAAAAAAAAAAAAAAATAAAAAAAAAAAACAAAATTAAATAATAAAAAAAAAACAAACAAATAAAAAACATCAAAAAACAATATACAAAACAAGGAACCACTTATAAATTTTAGAACATACAACAAAATAAGAAAATAAAAAAAATCCAAACACAGAGAGAGAGAGAGTGGAGAGGAAAGAGGAAAGACTAAGTAGAAGGAGAGTCGAGGGGAGAAATGAGAGATGAGCTACGGCCCGAGAAGAGATGTGATGGGGGGGGGAATGATAGAGCGGGTCGAATAATCTCGAAGTATTTGATATGCGTCAATGATATTAGGATTCGAGGAAGAGAGGACAGAGAGATCGAGAGAGGAAACCTGAGAAAACGCGAGAATGGAGTGAATCAGCGACGAAGATGGATATGAGAGGAAGTGAGTGAAAGTGTACGAGAGAGATGATGTAGAAAGAAGAATAATGAGAATTTCTGCCCGTGCTTTTGTTGTTCTTATTTCATTATATCAAAATTCTCCCACTGCATGGGTTTATATAAGACTTATCACATCGTTCCGTATCATCGTCTCCACAAATATATTATTAACTACACATTTACTTGCATGAATACAAAGGAACTCAATCGATCTCCCTTGAAATAGCACCCATTATTATACTAGTTGGACTCTTTAATGGATTCACCTTACCCTGTAGGGATATCACACTATGCTCTTGGTGTACATGCCTAAACATGATTAAGATCACATTCCTCTCAGGGCGGACGAATCTTTTTAGCCATGTTGCTTTAAACAGAATGTCTCTTATTATTTACCGACAGTGAGATCACATCCCGAAAAGAGCTTCCAGAACGCTTTATGCGACTGCCGCTGGGTCAAGCAGCCCGCTGAAAATCGATCCTTCGGAAACGCCTTGCGTGAGAATTGTTGCCCCTAGCTTGATCTTCAGTTTGCAATTTACAGTAGATGCTCCGGATTTCTCACTTTCATCGTCCTTTGGCACAAACCTCCCGAACAACGATCTGCGCAGTCTCCCTGATGAAGTGCCGTATTTTCTTCTTGATATGTCTCGCTCCTTTAGTAGTTTCTGCCAGTTGTTTTTCTGACCGGTTTCAATGTCATCACACTCTCCTCA